ATGGTATTTGTGAAACAATGCATTTCTTTTTTTAACTGTATAATTATATGTAAATGTCTTGTAATTGATTTTGTGAGGAAACCAAGTGTTTGGTTTGAAACACAATAAAATCTTGAATCTTGAATCTCGAATATCACGTGAAGATATAATTGATATGTGGATGAAGATATCATATTTTAGCAAACAATTCCCAAACCATCGAATATCACTTTTGAAACCATCGAATATCACTTTTTGAAAGGTGATATTCGATGGTTTTAAAAGTGATATTCGATGGTTTCAAAAGTGATATTCGATGGTTTTGATTTTTTTATTATTTATTCAGCAAAACGATTCTTTATATGTTTTTTATTTATTTGGATCTAGTTTTTACGGCGTTTGCACACCCTGTTACGTCACGTTTATGACGTTCGTTGAATTATTGCAATCAAAATGTTGAAATAAATAAATCTTGTTCAAATTTATCTGACCATTCAATGTTCGCTGGATAATAATTCCCCCTGGGATAAACGGACAATCCTATGGTTTTTCAAAAATATCACTTATATCCACTCATGGATATCAGTATCTTCACTCACTCGCTGCGCTCACTCGCGAAGATATCAATATCCACTCATGGATATAAGTGATATTTTTTCAAAGCCATAGGATATTCCTATATTATCCCATACTTGGACGTGTAACAGGTATATAAAGCCGGTTTGTAAAAACTTATAGTTTCATCAGCGGGCAGATATTGTAGGAATATCCTATGGTTTTGAAATAATATCATTTATATCCATGATGAGTGGATATTGCTTTCTTCATGAGTGAGCGCTGCGAATGAGTATCGAAGATATTTGTATCCATGAGTGGATATAATTGATATTCTTGAAAAACCATAGGATTGTCCCTTTATCCCATGGGAAATCATCATCAGCGAAAAATGTTGATCTTTTTAAAATATTATTTATATTGAAAATAATTTAAAAAAAGTAAAAATAATTTTTTGGAAAAAATTAGAAACCATCGAATTTCACTTTTCAAACCATCGAATATCACTTTTTAAGACGTGATATTCGATAGTTTAAAAGTGATATTCGATGGTTTGTAAATTGTTTGCTAAAATATGATATCTTGATCCACATATCAAATATATCTTCATGTGATATTCGATCTATATCCTTGCAACCATGGGATAAAGCTTTACGTCCCGCTCCGAGCGGGCAGATATAGTATATGTGCCCGCTACGTCATAATCGCCGCTCGCATATTTGTTCATAATTTGTAACGTTCGCGTAATGACTGTAAACGGCAATGGAGAAAACACATTGATGGTTAAAAAAGAGGAGCATCCACTTAATCAATAAAAAATTCGAGAAAATAAATATGGGAATATTTGAGAGAACAGGAAAATCCGCCCACGGCCAAGAAAACAAAATTAAAACTGGACATGAATATTCTAAAATATTTCCACGATTTAACAATGTGAACCAGATGACCAAGATTGGTATGGGATAAAAATATTATCCTATGGTCGGTTCAGGATATTGGGATTATCGCTTGGCCAATATAATATATTTTCCCTCGGGACCTGCGGCCCTCGGACAGATAAATATATTTGCCTCTGGATAATCCCAATATCCTAAATCTCATATAGGATAAACTCTATATCTACCTGATGGACCGTAGTGACCGAAGGTAGACGAGGGATAACCCCATATCCAAACCGACCGCACATACATGAATCTGCTTTATCATATACCAATTAGTTTTCTAAAAAATTAATCTTATTTCCTTTTTGAATTTTTTTATTTTTATTCTCTACTTTACTTGTCATAGGATATTAGACGGTATATATATATATAGTTTAGTATGATATGTACTTCTTTCTGTAACTGGAATACGATTCTAATATACAAGCAACACATACAGATGACATATATATTCCCGAGAAACCATAAATCTTTTGTGTAGGGTGTGGACATTTTTCTTTTCATTTCTCTAATTTACAGATTATTCTCATAGAACTCATACAAAGTTGGGCCCAAGCCCCTATTTTCGTATTCTGCATGTTAAGATATTTATAATGTAAAACCTAAGAGATAAAATCAATGTCTTCAGTTGAGAATAAGTATAAGGTAAATGTGTGAATTCTGCTTGTTGTTGCACTATTTTTATAATTAAAGCGGCTCTAAGGTCTGTGGAGAGAAAAATGGAGAAATTTTACCTTTTCTGAGCTATCGGGGTGAAGTTTGGTCCAACATCTTCTTCCTTATTCCTATTTTCTAAAAATGTATGCATATGGCAATATTCATCAACTAGCAGAACTGGCAAATCGTTTAGAATCTACAATTCCATACAAGGAGTCCCACTCATAAAATCTCTGATAGTGTGAGTCTTTTTATGAAATCATTCTGATAGAAAACACTTAATTAATATTAGAAAGCATTAAATGTTGAATCCGAAGCGTAATCTGAAATAAAAGTGAAAAAACATTGCGCGGACGTCAGAGAACAAACTTCCGGTTTAATGAAAAATGGCGGACGTCGAAGGAGAAATTATGACGAAGAATTAGAGGATTTTCCTTTGCCATTATCGATCGTTATAAGGTATGTGCACAAATTCTAGTTGCATACATGGAAAATAGATACATTTTTAAAGGCAACAACATATTCAAAGCTTTCATTTTACGATAGGCCCAGGATCATTGGATACGACTCGGCAATCGATATTCCCACTTTAACAAGGTTCGATACGCAACACTGAATAGACTGTAGTCATAGCTTAGTTGTAAAGAAAACAAAAGAAGTTGGGACGTGGTCATGCTTGAATATGTTTCTTTTATATATCACCGTTTGCATTCGTTGAAATCGGCCTGCATTAATTTCAAGAGGTGGTCGGCGTACAAGGTCATATGTTTGAGTTATTGGTTTAATGATAAATGTGACCCTTGAATGCGTTATGCTTTATGTATGCGTGAAACAAATACTCCAATGGCCTAATCTCAATTTGCCTACAAACAATGTAACATTGAAATGATGGTCATCTGCAAATTAAATTCCGCACCACACGTCTAACTTCGACACAATTCAGTAAAGTATTCAGTATCGCTATAATCGCTACATGCCAGTGTACTTAGATGAGCGAACTTCGGAAGCTACATGTATTACGAGAGTTGAATGCTATTTTGAACTTCTAACCTTTACCACTAACAGATCATGCTATGGCTGGATCATTGAGTGCCATAATAATTTGGGGTTATACGATTGCTAAATACCATGATAATCAAGTGTCATAAACAATTATGATAATTGCTGTGAAGGGCAGGGGTGGTTCTAAATTCAAGATCCAATCAAGTCATCATGCAGGAAGGAAGCAACTAATTATTAAACCACTTCGAGCCGGGGCAATTTACGAGAGGTTCCTTTTTACTTGGTTCGGTTTTTCGCACGACATGCGCAAAAATAAAAGTACGTCATTCCAATGATTCAAATTGCTCTTCTCTGATTGGTTCGGTTTAAACTTGTACTCCAAACGTTCGAAAATGTGAGGTTCTGGATATCTGTCATCCTTTAAAGGCATGCTTTTTGTTTTCATGCTAAACGAAAACTATTCCCGTATATATAAGGTACATTATGGGCAGAGGCTGCTGTGAAATAATGAACGTATCTATCTGAAAATATATAAAGTCATTAAGTTATATGCGCCAGCTGCGTTTTAAAAAAATTCACTAACCAAGTTATTTGATTGAACGCGCATGTGCGAAAACACGAACCAAAACATCGAACCTCGCGCAGATTGACCCTTGTGCAGACCACTGGCCATCTGGCTTTGGGAGACTGTAAGCGATATCCACCCTTACAGTAAATTGCAGGGGATATACATTTAATACTCGCAGTACATAAATTAATGTTAAGATACTGATGAGAAAGGCATTAGTATATGTGTACCTTACATATATTTCTCGTACTTTAAATTAAGTTTAATTGTGCGTTTCTGAGAACAATTCTGAAAAATAAAGTTTTTTTCAACATTGGGTTTGCAGTTTGATACTGTTTATCATTATGATACTTGTCTTGTAAGGAATATATTAAATAATGTAAACAAAGTTTGATATTGAGGAATATACTAAGTAGTTATTGACACTTCATATGTAATAAATAAACATTGCTGGTATAATCTCATGATCGGATCGTTTGGTGATCAAATAGATAGTTAAAAACTAATATTAATATGATAGATGACATTTGAGAACCGAGTATCACAGCATTGAAATTTTAATTTTAATTTTGATAAGGATCTGGACGCCATGTAAAAAATCCACAATAGCGACCATATACAAATATATCCATACGCTGGCGTGTTATTTGAAACTGCACGATGTTGTTTAATGTATTCTAATATTTTCCATGTATGCCCTCTATATTCAATAATCTGCGATTAAAACTTTACGTTAAGTTTATCGAACTTTCCGATATGTTCACTCCAAGCCATCTATATTTCCAAATGATCATTAAAACTTTACGTAAAGTTTAATTCTCAATTTCCGAGAATTTAAATCCAGTGCCATCTTTATGTCAAACACACCGTTTACACTTTTTGTAACATTTATTCGAGCCGACTCAACGATGTTTAAATGCCATCTATATTTCAAGTACATCATTAAATCTTTACGTAAACTTTATTATAGGAAACTACGATAAAGTCTCTACGTAACGTTTATTTTACTATTAGGAAAGAACGCTAAGTTTTTCAGTTTTTTACAATAAGGAAAGAACGATAATTAGAGACAATAAACAGAAAAAGAGACAATCTCCTTCTTTAAGAAGTTTTCTATAGTAAAGTACGAAACTAAAAGGAAACAACCATAATTCTTTCCGTAAAGTTTATATTAACTTTACGTAAAGTAAGAAACTAAAACCCATACAACCATTTACCACTATTTTATTAAACGTAAACGTTGTTTATCGTATTAATACTCTTCGTTAAGATTAGCATAGTTATAGGACGCCGAAGACTTTTGGCAGGATTTGCATTCCATACTAGAGGCTCTAGAGATGGCGGAGTGTTTTGGAATAATGGCAAGCTAAACAAGACTCTAATAAACATTAGGAACTGTTTCGCTGAGCATGTGCCCATGGACATGTTATGAAATGAAACGTTATAATGGCCCTGTACTCGACCCATACCGAGCAAGTAATGGTGGTATAATACGATAAAAAAAATTCACCCCTATTTTTGGGTTAAAAGTGCAGATCTTAACTGTTTAAACCGTTTATGTAACTTAAGTGAGGAATTAAATCAATGATTCTGTTGTCTTCTGAACTATTTGTTCGCAAATATGTATATTTTCTTAAACATACACGTTTGTGTTAAAAAATGTCATTTTTAGAAAATATATATGACAGTCGACAAGGAATGACATGAACCTAAGATATTCTAAATTTATGTCGAGAGAACTCTGAGACTAGTGGGTGCCATATTTTGCTAGATAAAACAGGCAAGGAAAGATCATCACTATATGGGTAATTGGAATTGTGATATCCTGACTAATGTGGAGAAACATGTTATTATTTTTTCAAATTTATTTTATTGAATTTCAACCAGAAAAACAAAGTAATAAAGTGTTGTACTACAGACTATTAAGTCTTTTGACAATGTTTTAATGTTGTTTCGTAATGTGTTAACTAACTTTTACAATACAGTTTACATTGCATTTTGAACAATTGAAAAACATTAAGTATGAATTATTGCGATATCATGCAAGCTCAACATACGAACTGAATATGCTTTAAAAGTGGGCGTTGAGAATCATCCATCAAGCTAAATTAAGCATGTTAAATAAGAAAGTATCTGTTATAACGTCACAGTGGATATGCAAATGATGTATAATAACTTCACTTCGATTGAGCCTATACAAATTTAGGTAAAATGGACAAATTAAAATAGAAAAAAATAATGTTTGTGTTACCATGCTAACCGCTTTACAAAAAGAGTTTTCTGCATGAGATATTTTTTGACATTTAGTCATCTACGAGGGAAGATCCAAAAGTTTCCGGCCTAACATAGTTCCCGATGTCTGAGAGCAACCATTCTTCACAGTTCAAATGTTGCTTATGTATGAACATAATTTATGCATATGATTAACCTCTAGGGGTCACAGCCTCATTTTGAGAATATTCATAATGAGGTCAGGTCACAGTGGCTGCACAATGGAGAAAACTGAATATAGAGCGGTGATAGAGTTTCTATATCAAGAAGAAAATGGAGGGCAGGAAATCTACGATAGACTTAAGGATGTGTATTGGGAAGGTGCTCCCTCCTATTCTACTGTAAAATTTTGGGTGGCTGAATTTAAACGTGGACGGGAATCAATTGATGATGAACTACGTTCTGGAAGACCTAAAGATGTCACTTCAGATAGAAATGTTGATCTTGTACATCAAACAATATTGGAAGATAGGCGGAAATCTATACGTGAACTTGTAGAAGAAACTGGATTATCATATGGTACCGTTTGTAGAATAATTCATGAAGATTTACACATGCAAAAGTTAAGCTCAAGATGGGTGCCCCGTATGCTCTCAGAGGACATGAAAACAAAACGAGTTGCTGTTGCAAGAGAGCTTTTGGACATGTATAACACTGATCCACAATGTTTTATGGAGAGAATAGTCACTTGTGATGAAACATGGGTGCGTCATTTTGAGCATGAGTCAATGCAATGGAAACATATGGGGTCTCCACCCCAAAGAAGTTTCGCACCACCCCATCCAACAAAAAGATGATGGCCACCATTTTCTGGGACTGTGAAGGTCCTATCTTAGTAGACTGCCTTCCAAGAGGTACTACAATGAATGGAGAACATTATGCTGCTTTGTTGCGTACTTTAAAAGCTAAACTTGATGAAACCAGGCCACACAAAGTCCG